TTTGAATATCCCAAGGACCAAAGGTCCCTGCCTTGGCTGCTTCTGCTCCTGGCAGCAGGAGTCTCTGGCTGGCTCCATTCTGCAATTTCCTCTTCGATTCACAAGGGGGAGGCACCTTTGGGTCCTAGTGCCCCCAGTGCATTTAGGTGGTATCTCCTCCAGAGTTCTGAGTCCAAGAGGATGCTGAGGGGATAGGTGGCACTGGCCCAGTCCCATTTCACTCCTCCCCCCTGTGCAGCAGTCCATGCTTTGGTTTCTTCTGTCTCTACCAGCTGGAGTCTCTGGCTGGCTGCTGGCTGAACTTTTGAGGTTTCATGGTTTCCTTGTGCTGTCCTTATTACTGTAGCAGCAGAGAAGTACTGTACATCATGGTAATCAAATAGCAGTTACTTTTGTGACCTTTAATTGTCGCAGTGCTGTCACAGGAGAAGCACCCTACAGATGTTGCTCATCATCTGCATGGGACCCCAGTGGGTGCATACACAAGTTTGTCAGTCCTTTGTTTGAGTGAGAGTTTCCTCACCATACAGTAGAGTTTAATTAATATGAACGAGGTTTCCATTCCATTTCAGAGAGAGGAATCTATTAGTTTTGAAACTTTACTTATGGAAAGCACTGCTCACCACTCTTACCAAGTTACCATCTCAATGTGTCATATCCTTGTTATTGTTTAAAAAAATAAACAACTAATAGAAAGGTAAGTTGGTTGGTTAGTGTACTTGGAAGGAATCAAATGTGGAAGTCACAGTGACTTTCAGCAGCAGAATGGAGGATGTAATAATGGAAGCTTGAAAGAGGGTATCGTGACTTACTATTGACTGATAATGGATATTAATTTAGCTCAGGTGGTAGAACTTTCCCAGTTCAAATTTCTTCTGGGATGGATTGCTTGCAAATTAAATGAGGGTAATCCTTCCTTTTAATTGCACTTCCTCAATTCCCATCCTGTATCCTAATTACTAGTTTTTCATGCCCAGATTTGCTTATCAGTTTAGCTGTTTTAATATTTCATTTGGTTATTTACAATTGGGTATGTACAAAAAATTAACATGAACAGCTAAATAGAGAGTTGCTGCAGATGTCAGTGAGCCCAATCCAATAAAAAAAATTACATTTGTACCAGAGAAGTCCTTGAAGTCCATAATGCTGGTTTTGGGACACACCAACCTATTCAGAGCAAAGGTTAGCCCAAATAGGTTATAGAGGCCAATGTTATTTGATCACCTTATGAAACTTGTCAAATGCATGCACACAAAGTGATAGTTAAGGTTGTCAGGTAGATGCTATTCATTCCTGGCCTTTCTCGTTTTAAAACCTCAAATGTAAGATTACAGTAATTTTTTAATTGAACACACAAAAAAATCTTAATATAAGGGTTTTATTGACAAAAGTACACTTTTATACCATAATATAACAAAGCCAAAGTTTTCAAAAATAGGAGTCTAAAATGTCTATATTTAGGCAACTACTATTTTTATTAATGACATGGAAGAAAACACAAAGTCATTAGCGGTAGTTTGCAGATGTCACAAAATTTGGGGGAGTGGTAAATTATGAAGAGGGTAGGTTACGGATACAGAGTGCTCTGGATCACTTGGTAACCTAAGCACAAGCAAACAATGTGCCTTCTAACACGGATGAATGTAAATATATACATCTAAGATCAAAGAATGTAGTAGGTTATACTTACACGATGGGGGACTCTATCCAGGGAAGCAGCAACTTTGAAAGAGATTTGGGATCATGGTGAATAATCAGCTGAGCACGAGCTCCCAGTGTGATGCTGTGGCTAAAAGGGCTCATGCAATCCTTGGATGTCTAAACCGGAGTAGGAGGAGAGAGGCTGTCTCAACTCTGTATTGGGCACTGGTCCATCAGCTGCTGGAATATTGTGTCCATTTCTGTTTTCCACAATTCAAGAAGGATGTTGTTAAATTAGAGTGAGTTCAGAGAAGAGACATAAGAATGATTAGAGGATTAGAAAACATGTCTTACCGTGATAAACTCTAGGAGCTCAATCTATTTAGCTTAACAAAGAGATGTTTAAGGGATGACTTGATTACAGTCTATAAGTACCAGTGTGGGTAATCAGTATTTAATAATGGGGCTCTTCAGTGTAGCAGAGAAAGGTATAACATAATCCAATGGCTGGAAGTTAAAGCTAGATAAATTCAGACTGGAAATAAGGTGTAAAATTTTAACAGTGAAAGTAATTAACCACTGGAACAATTTATCAAAGGTTGTGGTGGATTCTTCATCACTGACCATCTTTATATCAAGATTGGATGTTTTTCTGAAAGATCTGCACTAGGAATTATTTTGGAGAAGTTCTATGGCCTGTGTTATTCAGGAAGTTAGTCTAGATGATCACAGTGGTCCCTTCTGGCCTAAGAATCTATTGATAGTTATGAAAGTTCTGAGACCAACAGTTATGCTGCAGATAATATTTTCAATAATGGCTTCACATCCACCAGCAATAATTTTTCACATAACTCATTATGGTCTATTTTAAACAAAAGAGCTACCAACTCACCACAAGGAGTGGTATATAGAGCCCTACAAATCTGTTGATAACCGCTTTACATCCACCGATATCCGCGGACCCTTTTTACGGATCGGATGTGGATACAAATTTTGTATCCATGCAGGGCTCTAGTGCTATATTTTCTAAGGGTATGTCTACACTGCAGTTAGGCCACTGTGGCTGGCCCATGCCAGCTGACTTGGACTAAGGGGCTGTTTAATTACAGTGTAGACCTTCAGGCTTGGGCAGCCAGAGCTCTGGGACCCTCCCACCTTGCAGAGTCATGGAGCTGGGGCTCCAGCTCAAGCCCAAATGCCTACACTATAATTAAACAAACCCTTAGACTGAGCTTCGCAAGTCCGAGTCAGCTGGCACAGGCCAGCCATAGGTTTTTAATTGTAGTGTAGACATACCTTCACAGACTTATGAAAGGGGATTAACGTGGACTTGAGATGCTTGCTGACCACTTTGGAAAATCTAACTGCTGATTTAGTTGCCTGATTATGTAATTAAGATTCTAACTTTTAGGCATCCATTTCTGAAAGTCTTGTTTTGTATCTTTAGCTCACAACAAGGTGCCTCTAGGTTTTGAACCTGAGGTAAATATTTGTCAGATGTTTCCTGCATGCTGCTTCATTATGCTCAGAAGAGCAGCTCCTTTACTTTCATCCAGTCCAAATCATGAAGGTGAAATACTGTGAACATACCATAGTAGCTTGGATTTTATTAGAATCCAACTTATTCATGCATTTCCATATCATTGCTAAATTCTTCCCCAGGAGACAGTTCATCTTCATGTCAGTATCATGTTTTTTGTGAATCTGTGTGTTTCACTGAAGCACTTTAAGCCTAAATCCACATTCTGTTTTGTGTGTGAATCAGCTACTCTTTTTATACCAATTTTCTATCCTGTAAAAGGAGCTATAGAATCTCCTGGTCTGAAGAAGAATTTGGTCTTTTGAAAACGTCAGTCTTGGCAGGTTCTGGTCTCTCACTCACAAATTCTTTTCTAGGATATGTTCTGGGATACCTTAGGTATGTTTTTTATGATAAGCTTTACTTCTCCCAGAGAAAGGCCAACTTTCCAGCACACTGATAGATGGAGCATTCTTCCATCCTTTGTCTTCTATATTGTTTTAATAATTTAGATTGAAGATTAACAATATCTTCAAATATTTTGGGGTGAGATTGAACAGGGTTTGCCTGGCTTTTTGAGATAGCAGAATTTTACCTCTAAAATGAAACAATTTCCGGGGCTCCTCCAATTCTCTTTTGTACTCTGATGGGGGAAAATGTGTTCTCAGGTTATCGTTTTGTTCCTAAATTCAAAGAGGATGCCTCTCTGTCTTTTGAGCCACATCCTTTATTGGATTGTTTGTTCCTTGGGATTCATTTGAGCATAGGCATTTTTTACTATAGGTCTTGGCAGGCAGTGGTGAGCTACTGGATCCTTTTTCAGGTTCGGTGTGCTGTTGGCCTTCAGAAGGAAGCTGCTGCTCTTCTTCATCCCTTATTCCTCCCTCTTCTCTCTGTCAGTAAAGGCATCTTGAACTTCTTAGTTCTTTGCCCCATTTCCCTGCTGGAGCTGAGCATTTTTGGCCTGGGAGAGAGAACCATTGGTTCCATGTCTGGTTTTTTAGTGATTTTTCTGTAGGGGCTAGGTCAAAAGCTTGAGAGACAAATATTTTATGCAGTTTACATAAAAATTGCACACATTATTAAAATAGGCAGTCCGTTACATAAATCTCCCCCAAGTGAATCAATTTCAGTTTCCCCCTCACCCCCCAAGAAATACGTAATTACATCAAGTTCTCTACAAAGTCCATTTATTCATCCTAAATATAGATTTAGGCACCTGAACAGAACTGGCCTGATCTTTTCAGAGGTTCTGAGCACCTGAAGTTCCCATGCTTGGCACTTCTGAAAATGAGGCCACCTGTTTTTGTTTTTCTCTCTCTAAATATGGATTTACATGCCTAATGTTAGGCACACAAATTTGAATATTTGTGCCTTAGGCATCACATTTTCTAATTAATGAGGTCTCAGATTTTTCTCTCAACTCTCACGATTTCCCTAGAAAATGGAATTTTCCTGTTCCAAGAACAGCACAAAAAAGGAGAAGAAGTGAAACAAGCTCAAGAATTTGAGGATTGAGAGGCATAGGGTGGGACTGGAACTATGTCTATCTTTGTGTTTGGAACATGGATAGCACATGGTGGGTGCTATCACAGCCTAAATGAGAATAATAATGGAAAATTAATACACATTTCTGCACGCATGCATGGTATATTGGGAAAGTATTTTTAAGACTTTATCTTTTTATGCTATTTCTGAGCCATAAAAAGAGAATATCAAGAAAAGTATTGTGATAGTGAACCTCTAGATCTGACAGAAAGCAGTACATAATAAAGGTTACAATACTTCTTCACATATAAGATTTGTTTAGAAGAATAATGATTGACTTTCTTTCATTTAGATATAGTACATGAAAATCTGAAAATGGGATCAGATGGTGAAAGTGACCAAGCTTCTGGAACATCCTCTGATGAAGTTCAGTCTCCTACAGGTGTTTGCCTCAGGAACCGGATACACAGACGGATCTCTATGGAGGTAATCAGTTTTCCCATAAGGATCCAGTAAATTAACAAGTGACTTGGGAATTGTTTAAATTACTTTATATAACTGCTTGTTTTCCTGCCAGTTCACTTTAAAGCAGATGTTTGTGTTCAACATATGAGTTTTTATGATAACAGTAGTCATGACATACATTTTTCTTCCTATTTGTCAGTCTTGGAACCTGAGTAGATATCACTGACAATGTTTATAATCTGTCCAGTACAAAAAATTAAATATTGTTTTTTAAAAAGTATTTGATTTTTAAAAACAAGCAGAGAATCCATTAGCATGCTCTCTTAGATACTAAATGCTAGACATTTAGTGTAGGACTGGTCTTTAAAGTGCTGGGAGATCACATGAGAAAGGCTTTGCAATAAGTACAGGCATTCTAGAAGGAATTGAGGTGTTGGGAAACAAATGAAGAAAATGTGACCATTAGATTCTGCGACGTTCTGTGTATATGTTCAAGTAGACTACTTCATATATCGCTACTCAGGCTCTTTTATATAATGCTGCTTTCTAATCCATGTGAAACTTCAGAAAGTAAACACACTAGGGATGTTCCTGACTGCGTCAGCCTTTTTCATTCTTCCTGTTTTTTAGTGTACGGAACCTTACAGGACAGTAAACAAAAGGAGGAAAAAGTACTTCATGAATAACTGTGCACATAATTTCCTTTATTTATGAGACTCATTATGAATACTAACCACCCTTGCACTTGCTTTGTTGCCCTTTCCCCAGGCAAAAGATAAACAGAACTTTTCACTTTTTTTTTTTAAATAAGTGTAACAGCTTTGATTATAATAATACCATTTTGGCTGGAATATGTAAAGTTCTTTGATTGGTTTCATTATAAAAATCTATTCTTAGGGGTTTTAAATCCCCATAATTTTTTTTAAAGCATAATATAGAATGCAGGAGTTTGGAAAATATTTTTGGATTATCTAACACTGAGTTTGTATGTCAAAAATAAGTACAGCAAGGCATTTTGTTGTGTTTGTATTATTCAAAAATTGCACTGATTAGTCCATTAATCATTACACACCCTTTGTGGAGGAAGTTATTTTGTCTTAAAAATCCTTAATGTATTTGTTGTTGTTAGTGTTGTAAATTTATGAGCCAAGATTAGGCCCGATCCAAAGCCCACTGAAGTGAAACCATTAACTTAGGCCTGGTCTGTACTAAAAAATTAAGTTGGCTTAAGTACTTCGCTCATAGGTGTGAACCCCCCCCTTGAATGGCGTAGTTTAACCAATCTGACTCCCAGTGTAAACAGCGCTAGGGTGATGGAAGAATTCTTCCGTCGACCTAATTAACACCTCTTGGAGAGATGGATTATCTGTGCTGACTGGTGAACCCCTCCCGTTGACATAGGTAGTGTCTACACTGAAGCGCTTCAGAGGCACTACTACATTGGTGCATCTATGCTACTGTAGCATTTCAAGTGTGGACAAACCTTCAGAGGGCTTTGGATCATATCCATTGTGCTTTGAGTCAAGCAGAACACAAAATAAAAGCAGTAGTATAAGAATTTACATGTAGAAGACATTAGAGAGACAAGGTGGGTGAGGTAATATCTTTTATTGGACCAATTTTGATCAGAGAGACAAGCTTTGCTGACTGTTTCCCAGACCTGAAGAAGAGTTCTATGTAAGCTCGCAAGTTTGTCTCTCTCACCAACAGAAGTCAGTCCAATAAAAGATAATGCCTCACCCACCTTGTCTCTCTCATATCCTGGGACTGACACAGCTACAACTGCACTCATGTAAAGACATGACGTACTGGGGAAATCTGGAGGAGGAGGAGATTACTATTATTCATTATTTTATTTCCTGTTTTCTCCAAAATATTTTTAAATAGGAATTTCCCATATGTAGAGCTGCACTTCTGCTGAGTTCTCACAGCATTCTTTTTGGGTTTAACCTCCACCCGCCGCTGCAAACCTTTTAACCAAATAATCAATAGTGTAATAGCTCTTTTTAGCTTCTACAACAACTGTAATATTACACTGTCTTAGAAGCTTTGAAAATATTTTTTTCCTTTTAGATTCAGTTCCATCTGACAAGCATTAATTTCCTAATTTTTCTCCCAATTCCAAATACTTGTTTCTAATGCAGCTGAAATTAACGTGATGTGGTTTATTTCTTTGTTGACTGGCACAATCAGAGAGGTCAGGGTAGTTCAGGCAACTGTTCCTATGCATCCTGTGAACCAGGCTTTCCTCCTAAATTGTTACAGTAATGACATGGTGGTTTTTAAAGATAAGTTTTTTAGAGTGACCTTTTGTCTGGTAGAGAACAGCTGCTGAATTTTAACAATGATTTTAGCTCTGAATTTCCTTGATTTTTGTGAGTTGATGTCAGAAACTTATGTTTTTAGTTTACTTGTTAAGTAGTATTTGTAAGAGGGGAATTTTTTTTACTCCATGTTTATGCAGTGCCTAGCAGAAGGGGAACACTCTGGGCTACTATAACAATTGTGGTACAAATTGAAATAAACACTCCCATACAGGGAAACTTTCTGTAAAAATTCCAGTGATGAGCTTTTTTTGTTTTGTTTTGTTTTGTTGTCGTTGCTATATGACCTCTGACAGGCTTGTAATAAAGATTTGTAATTACAATAACAAATCTTGCTTGCCTTACTTGTGTGAGCATTTCCAGTGAAGGGATCCTTCGTGTCCATAAGCTGAACAGGATTTGACCTCTGGAGTTTACTAAAATCAGTAGTATTAATTTGATTCAGTGCCAGGAGAAAGGAAAGAAAAGCTCCAGTCTTTGTTAGCAGTTATATTCATGTAGGTTGACCTGCATCTCTTTACTATGCCTGTAGGTAATAGCAAATTAAATGTTATACATAGTTGATAGACTAGAACAAACAGACTATCAGAGACATTTAGCATAATTGAGATCTATTGCAAATTATATTCATATGGTCACACTATTGTTTATGGGAATATATTTAATAAAATATAAGCTGATGTTTCTCTCCCCTCCACTCTTTCTAATGAAATTTGAGCTTGGTATTGTCAAACTGAGCACACCTTTCTGTTCTGTGTGGTTGATACACTGTGTAGTTGTAATATGGTACATAGTCTTTCATAAACATAACCTTGTTTGTTTCTGTTTATCAAACAGGCAAAAGCAGTTTTAGTTTCTTAAAGTAACTGATCATTTAAGGCTGAGAATTTGGACTGACAGGCAGGCTGGCCCTTTTTATTTTTTGTTAAGGCTAGAATGTCAGCTCTTGTATTTCAGACTTGCCCTTGAATTTCCTCTAGGGTTTTGTTGTTGCACTATATATTTATATGCAAATTAGCAATCCATCATGAAAACAAAAGATATGTTCTATGCATGTTTACTGGAAAACATGTGCAGTCAAATACTTAGCTATGTTCACTGTTAATATGCAGTAGCATTTGAGATGTTTTCCAGTTCAGATTATAAATGTTCGCATAAAATATATGTTAACAAATGTAACATTGCAGATTGCTGGAGATGGCATTGGCTGTACAGTTAAGCAAGCGGACCACCCCACCACTGTAAGAGATAATTAACTGAATACAGTAAGTTTTCCTGTAATCATAATAGGATCAGTATAAATATGCTGTGAATATGACAGCAATTAAAATTCAGTAACAAAAATTCACATCTCCCCCTTCATATTAGAGTAGTCATTGATCTTGGGTTGAGTCATCACAGCTTGGAATCAGGTGATAAAATTGTTGCTCTAATTTAATTTAATTTAATTAAAACTAAAACTGTCAATGAGGTTTTGACACATTGGGAGAACAAGAGGGGCATGCAGATTCTCTTGCTCAGGGTAGTTGAAACACTGAGTTCAGATGTGCAAGGTTTACTTTTATTTTTATTGATTTCCATATGCAAAGATCAGCCTAGAAAGATACAAAAGGGAAGACTATACAGTGCAAACATAATCTGCAAATCCAAATCCATGTAGAATATTTTCTTTTATTCAGCACCTTAAATCAGATATGTTTATCTTGAAACTTGAAAAAAATTTATGACAACTCTTTGTTGAAAATGATAAAGCAATATAAAGTAGAGAGAGAGATGTGAAGGAAAGGAATGCATGTTGTTATATTACTATCTTAGATCTCAGAGACCAGAATCTGGTCAAATAAAAGTTCACAGTGGCCACCATCAAAATTAATATGTCTCCTTCCTCTAAAAGGGACTGGCCATGTGCTAGTAGGTTACCAAGGGAGGTTGTAGAATCCCCATCTCTGGAGGTTTTTAAAAACAGATTAGATAAACACCTGTCAGGGGATGGTGTAGGTTTACTTGGTCCTGCCTCAGTGGGGTGGACTAGATGACCTCTCAAGGTCCCTTCCAGCCATATATTTCTGTGATTCCCTTGAAAGCAAGCAACAAAGGGATTACTGTATTGCATCCAGATAATAGATGACCTTAGGCATTTTTGATCCTGTGGCAGTCGAAGGACATTCTTCAATTAAGAATGACTTACTAACACTTCCCATTCAAATGAAATGCCTGCTAGCTGCATGGAAACTTTTAAAAAATACCATAACAGAGGCTCAAATTAAATGTATACCCCAAATATAAAAAAAACAGAGGTCCAAAAAAATGCCACTATGGCTTAAACAATAGAGTAAGTGAGTTGGTTAGAAACAAGAAGGCATCCTTTAAAAATTGGAAGTCAGGTGCGACTGAGGAAGATAAAAAGGAGCATGAACCCCGGTAAGTCAAATGTAAAAGCATAATTAGGCAGGCCAAAAAAAGAATTTGAAGAGCAACTACCAAAAGACACAAAAATTAACAGCAATATTTTTTAAAAGTACATCAGAAGCAGGAACCCTGCCAAACAATCAGTGGAGCCACTGGATGATTGAGGTGCTAAAGGAGCACTCAAGGAAGATGAGACTGTTGTAGAGAACCTGCAAGAATTCTTTGCATTGGTCTTCACTGCAGAGGATGTGAGGGAGAGTCCCACTCCTGAGCCATTCTTTTTAGCTG